ATGGATGGATGGATGGATATCCACATTATTGTATCTCTTGCAGTATCTGAGCATATTCATTTGAACTGGTTTAATTCCATAGGGAGTCTTCTGTAATTGCCTTACTGATACAACTATAATTAGCATCGTAGAGCTTGGTTAGTCTCTAGCCAGTTTTCTTCCCAATTATTTCATTTGTGATGATTACCAGCTGACTTGTATTTTGAAAAATATTAATGTCTACAATAGAGAGTAAATGTTCCCCCACAGACTGGTACCGTCCCAGTGGCAGCCCGGCTACGACAGGAGACGTCTTAAATCCATCCTACCTCAGTAGGATCGCTAATAAGAGCTCATCCTACCGACTGAATGCCAATGAGGTTAAAAAGTCATTAATTATGTGTGTGGTGTCCTGCGCTTGTTGGGAGTAAAGGAATCCATAACACTGTTTTCTTTAGATATGATCCAGGTTGTAGCTGTTTGTTTTCATGGATCTTTAATTCATGAATATTATTTTCTAAGCTAGCAGTTATGATGCTTTTGGGCCTCCTAATACCGTTGCTTTATAAACCTCATTTTATTTGTTTGTTGTTTTCTTTTCCTGATTTCTTGTATAATATAATGATTTTTCTGAACTATATGCTTTTATTCTAAATCTTTAAGCCTTTTACTGTGTTAGCTCTTAATCTCTAAACTTTTTGCAGCGTGCTACAATAGGGAAGGAATAACCTCGCCATTGTCATTTTCCAACAAAGCTGGTCCAGGTACTTTTTAGTACCAGGTGCGCTGGCGTTTCAAGCAATCCGAGCAGGTACTAAAATGTGACGTAGTTAGACTGCATGCCACTAATTGGCTGGTCAGCCGTGTCACTAGATGTTAAATGTTGTCATTGTAGTACTTACATTTGTAAAGCTTGTTTTAACCTGTATGTTTAGAGATTTTTCTGTTCCTCCCCTACATCTAGGTGGGGGACGCGATAGCTATAGTGTTTAACTGCAGGCACATCCTACGTGAAGTTCTGCTTTCTTATTAAGTGAGGATGTTTACTTCTTGGATTTATGACCTCACCTGTGCTTGTGTACGGTTAGACCGTTAGAGGGGTTAAGCCATACACAGGGTGAGGGAAGATGACCCTTTGTGATCAGCAGGAAATCACACAAAAACA